AAGTATGTTGTCTTTCGGGCGTAATCGAGGACCCAAAGGTGTAGTGTGATGCGTGACCATCTACGAGGAGGAGGCGACGTCTCCCTGCAGCTTTCTCCTTCGTGTGCTTGTCGAAGTGTTTGATCCACTCAATCCCAATCTCGCCATCTACATAGCCCTTTGGCGAATGACCAAGGCTTTGCTGTGTTAGCATGGCATAGAAAAATGATAGTTATCTCACTTACACGGCCTTGAGCGGGTTGTTCTGCTTCCACTTCGTGTGAAAGGCCTGTCCCTTGAAGATTACGGCAGGCGGAATCGAGGTACCATCGGCGCAGATCGTAACAACGACAGTGATGTTCTCTCGCTCACCACTGCGTTGTTGGTACTGGACCTTCTGTCCGGCAGGTCCGAGTACTCTCTCCTTCAAGCCGACACCCTCCTGGATCCCAGTCTCGTCCATACCGTAGATACAGTCTGGGCTGATCTCCTCCTCACCCTCCTCGCCCTTGATCGTCTTTTCAAGGAGATCAAAGTATGCTTTATGAGTGTGGGGATTGACTGCACGTGCGCGGGAGCTGTCGAGAGAATGGGACCAGTACGGCTTCAGTTTCTCTGAATGGCGCTCAACGAACCGCGTTGTCCATTCCTGACCCACGCCATCTTCAGGGAAGCCTGGTGCTTCTCGCGCCCAACATATCCGGTTGACATGCTCCCGCAAACGTCGGTGATTGAGCGGGAACCCTCGGAGCGCGGCGTTGATAGCGAAGTCGATGACTTCCTCCTCCTCATCCGCCTGTAGCCACCTCTTCTCTGCGTTGAAGTCTCGGATGCTGGGCTTGCCGCTGGCTCGATCGGAGACGGTGCTTTTTGGCAGCTTGATGGACGTTCCGGTCTTCTCGTAGCACTCCTTCTCCACTTCCTTGCAGATTGCTCTCACGCCCTTCAGCTTCTTCTTCCCAGACTGTTGCTCTTCTGTGTACCGGTTGGCTGCGATGGTGACCCATTCTTCCTGAAATTCGGCATCGATCTGAGCCTTCTTTGTCTTGGATAGTGCGCGACGACCAGGCATGGTGGATGGTGAAGTAGGGCAATGATATCTGATTAATCGGTCTACGCTGCTAGAGCGCTTGTCCAGTCCGAGCGGACGTTCAGTACGGCCAAACCAGATTTAGAAGGCGTGACTGAGCGCTTACTTCGGCAAATGTCTCCTCGAGTCGCTCGTAAGATCGCGACATCGGTGAGCACATTTTGAGCCCGATAAGCATATAAATTCCAGCGGTGTCATTTGAGGATACCACTTGACATATCTTGTCAATCTGGAGAGACGGCAGCAGCGACTTCGCTTATGAAAGCCAAAACAACCCAAAAATGGCAGATCTCAGGTGAAGATGACAACTTATATTATTGTGCAGACAACGGGGAGACACGAAAATCAAGATCTAGTGTATTATATGCTGTAGGATGACATTGAGATACATGGAATTGAAGAGGAAGTCAAGGGGAGCGCAGGATTGAGGGAGCGTCCGAGGGACCCATGGGTGTCCGAAGGACCGGTTAAAGACTGTATGGATTAGATATGAGGGTTTTCAAGCAGAATCGAGACCAATCATTGTGTACTTTTGCTGATGATCTGATTGCTTTTCTTTTCGTGATGTCTCACCTGATCATCTCAGCACAGCCCTCAAGTCCATCTCAGCACAGCCTGCGAGTCCGTCTCATAGCTCGCCCCCGGTCCCTCTTGAACTCACCGTATCACTCACCAACTCCAGCGGCCCATGTTCCTCATGGATGATCATGCGACCTCCCTGCATCCTTCGCCTTCGGTTTCATCCCCCGCGCAATCCCCGGCGCTTCCATGGGAGGTCATCGAGAAGGTCATCGACTGCTGCTCCGGCGACATGGTCACGCTGTGCGCTTTCGCTCTCACCTGCAGGCAGCTCCAGCCTCGCACCTTCTTCGTTCTCTTCACGAATGTCGACCTCCTCAGCATGAAGCAGCTCATAGCGTTCTATCATGCCGTCCAAGCTCAGCCCCACCTTCAACCTGTCGTGCGATCTCTGTCATTTCCGTGGGCCGGGGATTTCTTTAATCCATTCCCCCTGCTGTCCATCCTCCCGGGTCTCCGTCATGTTACATTCGATAGGATCTCTTCAGTTGATCTAGGCAACCACGGACCAAGCTGGACCACTCCACTCTGTGGTTGGCAATTCGCGACTAGCCTTCGGAACCTGACGATTCGCTGGGCTTGGTTCCAGACGGGAACCGCTTTCCTTCAATTCCTTTCGGCCTTCCCGAACGTCGAGAACCTCACCTGCGAGCGTCTGCGTCTGAAGACGCATGGAGGTACTCCAGTGATACAAGATCATTCCTCTCGCCCATTACAGCTGCGAACACTGAATGTGAGGGACAACGTGATCATCTGTGCTCCTCAATTTCAATACGCTGGGTTTCGTTTTAGATACTTCCAGACGTGGATGATCAGGTCGTTGAGCTATTGGTTTACGTAGCTCGACCTGCGACTACTGCTACGCCTGCAGTGCGGAAATGTACTCGTGCGCATCTCATTCCATTTCCTAGTTGTATCCTCCTTATAATCCAAAGTAGAAGCCTCGTCTATGCCGCGTCCTCAATTAGGCGCGGATCTCCAGCCCTCCCTGACATGGTGGATACGAGCCGAGACCGAGAAACTCCGTTATGCTATTCAAGTCTTACGCGATTCGGAACTAACAGCTATAGGCGATGTTACTCTGGTCATCTGGGATAGCGAGGTTGGAAAGTTATACAGTGAATGCCGTCAATCTGCTAGCTTGGAGCTCTATGCAGCATTGGAAAACGTCTTGCTCAGATATCCCTCCCATCGCGTACTATTGACAGTTCTCGAAGGCCTCATCCTGAACGAACGGAAGATCTCCTGGTCGGACGAGTTCCGCAGGTGGCTCTGTCCGATAAGCGAGAAATGGGCGCTGACAGAAGATGTCAAATACTGTGAGTCCCGTTGAATCAAAATGTTTCCGAGTCGGACGTTGACTTGAGTAGCTGGTCTACCTGGGCATGACTCAAGCGTCAACGCACTTGTCATCTCGCCAGATGGGCGGTGGGTGGCGACGGCCTCTGATGATTCCACCATCATTCTCTGGGATGCCCGAACTGCCTGCATCTCGGAAGAGTGGTTCGCCCACGACAGACAGGTCTCGGATCTCGCGTTCTCACCAGACGGCCGTCACCTAGCGTCCGCAGGTAGTGGCGGGCAGGTCGTCATCTGGGACATCAGCCGTGACCGCCCGCACCAAACGGCTACCCTCGAAGGCCATAATCTGGGTTACATCAGAGGCTGCGCGTGGTCGGACAACGGTGCATACATCGCGTCCCGCGACGCCGACGACACTGTACGACTGTGGGACGGACGATCATTCCAGCTGCTACGGGCCCTTGACGAAACAACAATCATTGACCCCCTGTTTTCCCCCAACGGCCAGTGGTTTCTAGTCCACCATCCAGACAGCTGTGGCGTTTGGAAACTTCCGTCCCGCACATACATGTCACTCCAACTCCAACGTCAGCAAGATGGCCCGAACGACTATCCCGTCACAGCCAGATTCAGCCCGAAAAGTACACGCGTTGCTGTCGGATATATGAATGGGGTGATCCGCGTTTGGAATATGGAGACCAGACAGGATCCTCTGTGGTGGAAGGCACACGAAGATCAAGTCCTCGATGTGGCCTTTTCTCCGGATGGTCGGCTGCTGCTCTCAGCGTCGAGCGACAACACAGTGAAGACATGGAACACACGGAATGGTGCCATGGTCCAGTCGCTCGAGGGGCACGAGAGATTGGTGTCCGCAGCATGCTTCTCCCCATGTGGGCAGTACATCGCCTCTGCATCCAGTGACCTGACGGTGAGGGTGTGGAGGACTAGCGACGGGTCGTGCTCAGCGACGCTCTCCGATCACGGCGACGCGGTCATGCATGTTGCATTTACTCCAGACGGGACGATGTTGTGGTCTACAGGATGGAATGGGACCGTCTTGGGTCGTCGACTAGAGGACATCATCCCGAACGACTTCAACTCGACTCGTGTAGATAACCGACTACCCTTGTTCCGCTCCGCTTCCCGTCTGTCTAGATAGATCAGAATGTGTGTATGCTAGATGTCCGTATACCCTCGATCTCGCTTACGGTGACTTGTATGCCCATACCCTCGTTCGCTCATCCATACGACTGTCGATCATGTAAAGCCTTGTCCTTCCTCCCCTAGTTGCCAAATCACACGTGATCTCTCTCCACGGCCCAGGCAACGGCGGATCTACGAGTCTGCCGTTCTATCGACATATAAACACACAGAAGAGCGAGAAACAGTTAGGGGCATGTATCGTGCAGAAATTGACATGGACATGGGAGGGCACGATGGGTGACAAGCTGCTAGTAGTGCGCAAGATAGCTCGCTGGACAGCAGGATCCCGGTCAAAGTTCAGTGCAACACGACAAGCAACAGGGGCAAGTAGCGTCCGCAGGCGTTACATATTCACTACAGCAGTGTCCAGAGAGGGAACAGCAGCGAGTAGGCACAGACGAAGTAACTTGAGGCTGCTAGTCAAATGCGAACACCAGCAGGCGCCGCAAGCCAGCGGGACCCCGGTCCGGAGAGCGGGCCATCTCTGCCCAAATTGTCGCCGCGTTCGACACTCGACTTGGACATTGCGTTCCTTACTCAACAGCGCTCTGTACTGGACTTGAAGAGGCTCAGACCACAAATGTCGAAATAGAGTCGCGATCTCTGCCGGAGACGTACGTTCTGAGACGGTGTACAGAGGCTCCTCGACGAGAACGAGCTCCGAGCGTTGGAAGCTGCACGTTGCGAATGCTCCGACGCCGTGTTTGCTAGCATTGAACATCAGACCTGACGTACAGTTGTAGTCTAAGGGAGCTCGAGGGTGATGCTTACCGTGCTGCTAGTGGAATACGCCAGAATGTCGTCATTGAGACAGGAAGATCCGCCAGGGGCAGTTTGAGAGGTGTGCTGCCAGCCAACGAAGGATTCAACATGCGAGCCAAGATTGCCACATGAAGAGATAGTCACTCACGCCGATAAAGTCTAATCTAAATAGAGCTGCCTGGTCTCCAACACCGTCTGCCACTGTCTTCGCGCCGTGGAAAGGGATTGCCGGGTCGTACTGCATCTATGTCAGCTTCGACATGAACGCTTACGATCGTTATTGAGACACACCGTGTTTCCGATCACGAGAATGCTGTTGGCAAGGGTCTTGTTGAAAGGGCCTGTGCATCGCTCGACAGCGCGCCCTGGCCAGAAGGAGCAAGCGAATGTGGTTGCAGGCCACTGCGCAGCGTCTGCATAACCACGCTCTATGAGTTGCATGCACCCATGACTTTGGAAAGGATCACGAAGGCGTACACATATGAGATTCGTTCTGCGACGTCGAGACAATAATCTTGAGCACGTTCTGCATGGTATCGTTGGCGGTCGCGTCGGCGGCGTCACTGCACATGATTGCTTGCGTGGTGTATGTGACGTTCCTTGACTCGCTTGAAAACGCTACCACTTCGCTATCAGAGTCTTGATTGATGGGTTACTCACGGAAAGACTAGATAGTCACCTAAACGTCCCTGACTGCTTCGTGGAAGTAGGGATACTCTGAGATTCGGAAAGCACGAATTGCTCCGCCTGGGGATGGATGACGTTCATGTACTTAGGCCACGTGGTCATAGTGTACATGTTGGGCTAGAAGGCTTAAGCTAGAGGATCGTGCTTGTGAGGGGGTGCTCGCGTTGTATGCAAACGGTCGTCGCACTTACTGTTCATTTGTCCTGACGTCTGACGAACGGACGCGTTAGCACTTTGAGCATCATGTGTCGCCTTGAGCATCATGCGCCGCCTTGAGCATAGCTTGAACACGGTCATGGACATCTCCGGCGGATGCGAACGCGCAGCCTTCAGGACCTGTTAGGGCACAGGCCGTGACGACGCCTTTGTATACGTCATCTGACGATATCAATTGACTAGGCCAACCCTGAGATACAGTAAAGAGATCAGTCCCTTCCGGTGGCAAACATGGATTTGACCTAGGTACGCACGAGCACGCCGAGGTCCGGATCGAAGATATCCGCCCGAGGACCGACGACGCCGTCGAGGATAACGCGACCTGCACGCTACAACCGAGATGAGCCATCTCCCGACATACGCACATCTGCCCGCTCACCTCGAGGAACAAATCAAAGTGGATGTCTCAGCCGTGTATCCTCGCAACGATATACCGGGGGGAACACGCACTACCCAAAAACCACGACCTAACAATGGTCCCATACGACAGCCCGATGAAATTGATTGGGGATCCCAGACAATCCAGCGCGTCTGCCATTGCGGCCAAGTCTCTTACAGGCGCTGCTGTCCCAATGTACCGCAAGTATCGTTCCATCCGCGTGCTGCTGGCAGGGCAATCCGAGCTCGTCGTACTTCTGCTTTACGCCTTATGCACGATGTCGGGGTGCAAGGCCAGAGGTTGCAGCCTTTACCGCGTACGACGCTGATGTGCCGCAGCCTGCTATGCACCTCGTCGTTGAGATTGATCTAAGCAAGTGTCACAACACCAGTTTTGCTTAGATTCGCCGTGGGCATCGTTACTTATAGCCTAGAGGAGCCTCCGATTTCCAGCGCTCGTGCCACCTTCCAGAGGGTCTCTGCGCGATGATGATGTCAAGGAAAGGAAAGGACTTGGACTCTAAATGGTACCATCGTTGAGGCAGCGTCCATCAGCTTCACGACTTGCATCGACTTGAGGTTTTCTTACCTGTCTTTCCCTTGTCACTTCCACGCAAGGCTTCTTCCTCTACGTCCCGTTTGCTGCCAGGGGTTGATTGATGTCGTGATAGGACTAAATTTCGCATCATACTGAGTCGCCCGTTGGCGTGGTGTTCTCGTTACGTCATATGCTGACTGATACCATACACATGGCGCGCGAGAAGACCTCTCGGGTCAGAGGGGGGGAGGTTACCCCCAAGCCCAAGCCGTTGGTCACAGCAAGTAGGCGAGATGGCCACAGCAGCAGCAGGTTTCGAATGGCGGTTCAAAAAAACCACGCTGCAGCCAGCGGAGTTCGCAACCAAATGTAAGCGAGTGGGGACGAAGGCGGTGCGCACTTGGACATGCTCTCTCATTAATCACTTGTCCCTCATGCTCTCTCTTCTTGACCCAGGAGCGTTGCGACTCTGTAGACGGCGCGAAAAGGTTATTAGGAAGGTGCCGCGCGCGTACGATGCTGAATGGACTGACCTGATCAGCTCGTAACCGTGATCGCAGCGATATACTAGATATATGCGCTTGCACATTAGACGATCACACTGAGGATACGGCGGACACCGATGGATTGCACCCTTCGTGCCCGCAGGCGTTGTGGTGGGCGATGTGGAAGCGGATGCGGAAAAGAGACGCCTATCCGGGATGTCGATGTGGAGCGCTGGTGCGCCGGTAAGGGCCGAGCGGGGCGGATGCGCTGGGCTCGTCTGCGTTCGCGATCGCCGACGCCTCTTTCTGCCTTTCTCCTTCACAGGTACGTCGGCCAGACTCTGGTTACTTGTCGCATCTTTACTCAAACCAGACTAGTAGCTAGGAAATGACCTTGTCCACTATCCACTCCGTCATCGACGAAATCAACCGTCAGGCCGCTTCTCATCAAACAAGACAAGCGTTTTCAGGATAAATATGGCCGAGACCGGTTTCAATATGGATTTAATGGTTGGCGCGTCTTCGTTCAGCCTTCGGCGGACGTGGATGACCCATACTTCAGCCCTGCTGTGAGCTCGCTCACGAGCTAGGTCCACCTGAACGAGGCGATGCTGTTTTGCATTTGCGCACGCATAGAGGTCCTCTCAACATTCCTCATCCCCGTCTTGTGCCTCTCTCGGAAGGTACTCGAGCTAATTTTTCAAAGCGGGGAGTCGCATGCCGCAGGACCATCGGATCATCGGATCATCAATAACTCTCCCGTGCCCTCTCGTTGTCGCTGTCTCCCGCCATTAGCGCGAAATGGCGCTCAACACCCCCGATCTCTGGACAAACATCAAACATCCACGGCCGTACCGATCGATGGCGTCGATTCGCACTCACACACTCCGAACCAGCCACAAGTTACGTAGTCGGTGGCCGCCCCGCCAACGCCGGCGCTCCCATGCTCCGCCACCTCCAGCTCTCCCTCACTGATTACCAGGGAAACCAGGAGGTCCTCAAGGGCGGCGCCGATGCTCTCACTTTCGTTCGCTTCGACTCGCTGTCCACCCCGTGGTCCGCGCCACCCCTCCATAACCTCGTCGACCTCCGCTGGCTCTGGTACCAAACCAGGCTCCAGTACGAGCAATTCCGGAGTGTCACCTCCCCGTCGCCCAATATCCGTGCGCTCATTCTCCGGGGCACATCCATCCACCTCCACGCTGGCCGCGCGTACCCGCCGCTGCACATCCCCACGCTCCGCTACCTCGAGCTCTCCGGCGAAACAGCATGCAAGATGTCGTCCCTGTTCGAGACCCCGAACATTCAGGCGCTCACGTTCGCGAATCTCGATGAGGCCGAGTTCCGCGAGTTTGTCGCGCCCCTCTGCCTCTGCACCGACACCTCCGCAACAGCATCTGCCTCCCCCTCCTGATCTACATCTGGAGCCGATTCAATGGCGTGCCCAGCGCCCCACGCGCCCTCACGATCCCGTGCAGCAGGAAGTAGCCGGCCTCGTCGTGGACGAGCGTCGGCTTCGTCAGGTGCGGCCAGCTCGACACTCCCTCCGAATGCTCGTGCTCGTGCTCGTATACGTACCCGTGCGCGTCGGGCCCGGCGTGCTCCTTGCTCAGGAGCTGGAGCAACTTGGGTCCTCTTTACCATGTGGAGGGTCTTCGCTTCGCCTGCGAGGCCCTATGCGCGTAAACGAATTCGCACCTTCACACTCACGGTTGTTCAAAGACGTGAGTCACTGCGCAAGCTTCTTTTCTTGTAGGCTTCGGCTCACTCTCCATATAGCTCATCACAGTCACGAAGCCGAACAAGCCGTTCCAGTACACGGCGAAGGGAACGCCCCGTCGTCACGTCTCACTAGATGAGTACGCAGAAGAGATCGAAGAGCTGTACAAGAAGCTCGAAGAATCCTCACAAGTGGATATCCCTGTTCCCCCTTCCTGGTCAGCTGAGACTGTGCGAACGTACGTCCGAGGGGTGGTCAAGAAGGTTATGAAGGTGCCCAATATCGAAGATGACGAAGACCTGTTCTAGCAGGGCGGCGATAGGTATGTTGCTCTGCGCCCCACTGTCTGTGACATTCCGACTTACGAGGCCTATTTTGCAAGCTACCTGGATCAGAAATACAGTGCTTCACGCTATAAGGACCACAACTAAGCTCTCCGTTCATGACATCCCACTGAACTTTGTCTACAACAACCCGAGCATAACGCAACTCGCTTCATTCCTTCTCAGAATCCTGTCTGGGACAGCCGTAGGCAAGGAAGAAGAGCGTGCCTCTCGCCTTACGCAGATGGAGTCCATGCTGTCGAAGTATTCTAGCACATTTCCCAAGCCGAGCTGGCGCGGGACGTCATCCAGTAACGTCAGCCACAATGGCCACGGGCTTTCGCAAGAGACGATCC